AACCACAATCACATCTCATTCACATTCCACACAACATCTCATAATTCAATTCCATACGCACATCTCAAGCAATTCACATCTAAGTCATCAATTTTTATCAAGTAATATAGCAATAATATTCATAAATTAATATAATAATCAATTTTAATACAATCTTAACATAAACGATAAAATTCCCAATTATTCCAAAACCTAACTCACAGGCACTTTTTTACAGTTTCGTTCTTCCTCTCAGGTCATCATTCTTACAAATTAAATATGTATTTCTAATCCTCAACACATACAGAATCTAATAGGATTATTAGTTTCTCAAACAGAAATATTCTAATTTTTTCAAAACTTAGCTGCGCTCAGCGCAAAGAACTGCACTCAGCGCGAATTCAAACAGCAACTCTCCCCAGTTCGAAAATTCCACCCAAAAACCTGCAAAATCAACTTCCCAGGCACATGCAATCGGTCCAAAGCATCACATTTCCATCCAAGAACCCAAAAATACTACCTTTTCAACATGCAACAACAAATCATGGATTTTCCCAAATTTTCTCAAAAACCCCGAAACCCCCAAAAACAGGTTCTCATTCAACACAGCCACGAATCAACCATCCATAAGCATCTAATGAGTTTCTAGAACTCATCCACAGCCAAAAACAGCGACAAAAGAAAGAAAATTACTAGCTTCCCTTACCTCGGTGCGAGAATCCGAGCTTCCGGCAAGGGAAACGGAGAAGAGAAGTGGAGAAGGGCTTGAACGGGGGAAGAGAAGGAGAGAAACGCCCACACCTCAGCAAGTTCAACCTCTGAGAATCAACACCTTGAGACAGCAAGAAGTAAAGGAAATCAATGGATGAGGCAAGGAGAAGTAAGGAGAACGTAATGTGAAGTGAGGGAGAAGAGAGTGGAAGAGAGAAAAGGACAGCGGGTCTCACACGATTCAACTAGTGACCCACTGGTTCAACCTTTGACCCACTGACCCAGTACCTTAACCGGTTCGATGACCGGTCCGGTTTTTAAAACTATGGTCACAAGTTATGTAGGAAAAGGAACGTAATTAACAAGAAGAACGTATAATAAGGAACTCAGTTCTTTCCTCGTTCTGTTAATCTCTGCTGTTATGGAAAGAACGCACCTGTTGATTCTGAGCTTGATTTATTTGTCAAAGACTATTTATAGCGTAGAATCGCACAATTTTCTTAATTCTTATTACAAGTCAATTTCAATGTTCTTGGTCTTGGATCTGACATGTTGCACAAATTATATAAACCATGATGGTACTTGAATTAATTATCACAATGGATAAGCATTGGTAAATTACATGGAATACTATTGAAACCTTGGAGATTTTGAACATATGAAAACATTGAAAAATGTTGTGTTTGATGTAGAAACTAATAAAAGCCTTGAAATTCAAATGTAATAAACATAGAGTTATGGATCTAACTTCATTTGGCACGGTTGAAGTTGAAGAATCTAGCTTGTCAACGATGTCGTTTGCATTTTTCCAGTATCTGGTTGCCATGTTGGTGGCGGGCAAGAGGTTTACACTGTCCCTATAAATGTTAACAAAGAAGCAGAATTCTGCAAGGTAAAAGATTCTACATGATCTCTACTTATTAAATGAGACTTGCATTATTCTAACATTTCTCCCTTCAAAGCCTTTTACTGTGGCGTATGGAGCTATATATATATATATATATATATATATATATATATATATATATATATTTCTTTATGCGTTTCTCCTTCCATTGAATAATTTTCAAACTCACTTGTTCAATGTATTGTTGGAAGCCAGCCCTCTATTATTGTAGACCTGTTTTATTTATCTCTTCAACTTCGGGTCCATTTTGTTTCCTATTGCTGTTTATAGTATTGGGCTTAGCCCATTCTGTTTCTTCTTATTTTCTGTTGGAACTGAATGCATATATGTGATAAAATAAAATCCTCAATAGATCAATGACTGTTGGATAACATTTCCTAAGCATTTTAAAAGAAGATAATATATTAAAAAAAAAAAATTTAAGGACTAAAATAAACTCACATATAAAATAATTTATAAAAGTTATTTCGTA